CTCTCGATTTAGAGATTTTGTGTTTTCATTCGCCATTAGCTAATCACTTGTAGTTTTTTCCGAGTCATTTTTAAACTGTGTATTACAGGGAACTAATCAACCAATATTGTAATCTACAGACACTTCCGCACTTTGGCAGCCTCTTTGTTGTTAACAATGAATTAAACCATATATTTAAATCATGCTACTAAATACCTAACATTGTACTCTTCTTACTTAAAATGTACATATAATATAGATAGAAACTTTACCAAGAGAAAGTATAGATATTAAATAATTTTTATAAGTCGAGAGATTTTGCTCGAAGATAAATATATATTTGTGAGAGTAAACGTCTTGGAGCAGGTGGACGATGATCTTTTCTGTGCATGTCGGATCATACAGTTTGAGACCTTCAAACGAGTGTATTTTCCCAACAACATCTGCATAGTACGAAGTAGTAGCATTAAGGTACTCAGGCCTCCAAAAATATAAGGGAAAACAGTGGCTGGTTGGAGATGGGTGTCCTATTGGAGTTTTGAAGATGTGATATAAACACAGGACTAATTATTGAGTTGGAGTGGAAAAAAAAGAAACCGAACTAACACGATGGTAATTGAAATTGACAGTAACACGATGGTAATTAAAATTGACAGTTTGAATTGTATATGTACCTGGTAAAGCAAGGTTTGTGTTAGCAAGACCAGATAGTTGAGCAGGGCTGCGTGTTGGGCATGGGCTTCAACAATAATCACTCTAGAAGCCCACTTCCGAAGAAACCCAACAAGAAGAAGCCCGACGAGCTCGGCCCAGATGGTGGAAGCCCAACGAGCTCACCCTAAGTAAGTGATGATTCAGGCCCGAAGAAAGCCAGCCACCTTCTGCAGTGAATGAATCAGCGCTGGTCCCGAAACAACCCTAGTACCTTATTCTCTCCACTCTTAGTATAAATAGAGGTCCCCATCCCATGAGTTGAAGGATGATCTTTTCCACTTTTGGGCTAGTACAAGGGAATTTGAGAGCTGGAAGCAATCATTCTCTAACGCCAAAAGGAAAAGAATCTCCTGATCGAGCCCGATTGATCAGAAAGTACAGGAATTATTCACTGAAAGGCTGCGCAGACTTTACACTTATTACGCTGATACCCCGACCTCAAGAACATCATCCGGTCCGACCTCAGATTCAACGACCTCGTCAATCAGATCAGATCCCCAGCCCGACACCGACGAACTCGTATCTGCCGAGCTCGATACACAATCTTTTCTAGCACGTATAGTATCATTTGCTGTAACCATCCTCCGAGTCAGCATCAATAAACGGGAATTTCCGACCCTTTACCATATATAAATTTATTGTCGAACACGTGGATCAACACTGCGGATATGGTACTTTGCTCTTGGTATGGCATTGAGAGAGCGGGTTGGTATGAAAGTAGTAGAGCCAGTAAACTGAAGTACATATGGTAGTGCTATGATCTTGTACATTCTTGTGCAGGGCCTGAGCTCAGCATGGCGGATGTTGTAAATAGCCCCTTCCCTTAGAGCCCCGAGGTATTCCTCTCCTAGAGAGGGGGGTATGTGGCCATGTAGATTTAGATCATAAACAGAAGTTAGTGAGTGAACATGTATGGTAATTAATTGGTAGATGTGATTACATCAAGGGTAACAGTGTTTAAAAGGTAAAGCATGAAATGAATGAAAATCAATTTGGAGAACATCTGATTGAGTGAGAATCTATTATATTTAACATATTTAACAAAGTTAATGACTGTATTTAACATATGAATCTATTATTATATTTAAAAACAATTGTATTTTTAAAAATTGATAGACGAACTCATTATGTTGGAATTACAAAACTGGATTGATATTAACTTCTAGAAGAAACTTAAGAGTCTGAGTAACGAAATTGAAATCATTTGCTGAAATAAACAATGTCCAAAATATGAATCATGTGAAGATGCAGTGGTTGTAGCAGGAATCTGTAGCAGCACCAGATGAGAGAACTTCAGGAGAAGGGCGAACAGGCTGGTGGGCTTTAAGCGTGATGGGCTGTTGGAGTGAGTCGGTCCAGGCAAGGAAGGGCGTGACTTGCACTCAAGGAAGGRTGYAGGATATCTTTGGAGAAGATTTACTCAAACTTGAAGGTTTCTTTATTCTTAGGAGAAGATAAGYAAAGTGTATCTATCCATGAATATTTGAAGAGATAGTGAATCTTGCATGGAGTAGAGGTCAACGCTAGGGCAAGCCGCAGGCCGTTTAGTATATATAGGTTGGGGTTAACTCGAGGGAAGGGTCAACACAACGAGAGCAATTCCTAGCAAAGGGATTCAAATATAAAAGAAATCTTGTATCAAGGGCTATGGGGAAAAGAGAGGTTCACGATATCAAGTGTGATTCGTGAACAYGGTAGACTAGGATTGAGTGAAYGCAATACYTGTAAGTATTCAAGTCATCAATACTAGTAAACGTGTTTTGAGAAAACCCTTGTGTTGTGTTCTGTTTCTACATCAGTATTACATTAATCTCTGTAGTAGTAGCTGATACATTTTCATCATGAACACTCAAAAGCGAAAGAGACTAATGAGATTTGTCATTTCTGAGATGCTCAAAAGTCACACGCAGGAGTACAAAGCAAGCACAGTGTGGATGTTATTGTTAGGAATCCGAAAGTGCACCTTTGCATCGAGCAGGAGGAGGGAGACGCCCATGAGTGTTGTTGGGTCATGGAGCAGTGTTACCTCCCAGTAAGAAAGAAGCCGGGCAGAGATTCCTATGGTTGTTGACTCTGTTATTATGGTTTTTGCAGTACATTCCTCGCCCTGATGATCATGTTCTTGGAATTGTGGTAGATTCTAGATCAGATGTGAGTCCTTTGATATCTTTTTCATATACATTTTTCTACTGATTTTAGATCCCTCTTAGATTGGTCATCTCTGAAGATCAAGCTCAAGCATTTTGTTATATTTTAGTCGTCAAATACGAAACAAAGATATGTTTGTCAATGTCTTTGACTTCAGTCCTCATGTCTCTGAGCTAATATATGGTGGAACGATTAAGTTTGCTTCACGCATGAATTTAGATCATTTTAGGTATTGATTTTTTTTTTATTTGGCTCATTATGGCATTGCAGAATTTTTGGGTAGACATAAAAGGACCTCAAATTGCACTTTTGCCGAATCTTGTATTCGAAGGAGGAACAAGAAGAAATATTCCCAAGTTTGAAGTATGCACAATCCCATAAAGCATCGAGCCTCTTGTCTTCACGTTTAGAATGATTAATATGTGGTTTGCTTGTTTTGGGGAAGTTAACATAGATTCATGTTATGAACAGGTGGGCACTTTGCTTTATGTTCGTGTTGTCAAGACAAACACAGGAATGAATCCCGATCTGTCCTGTACTGATGGTAAGTCAAAATCTGAGAAGCTTAAAACTGTTGATTCCCTATATTACTGTACATGTTTTCAAAACTAATTGTTGCTTTTTACAATGTAATTAGCAAGTGGCAAAGCTGCAGCATTTGGACCCTTGAGAGATGGTTTCATGTTTGAAACGTCAACTGGTCTTTCAAGAATGTGAGACATACTTCCTCATACACTGTCTCTCTTACACTTCATCTGGATTCTCTCTACTCAAAAAGATTTTAACTTTCTAATTCCTTATAGGTTGTTGAGTTCACCAACGTGCCCAGTCCTCGAAGCTCTAGGAAAGAAACTTTCATTCGAGATCGCCACTGGCTTAAACGGCAGAGTGTGGGTAAATGCAGCTGCTCCTCGTTCAGTCATTATAGTGGCCAACGCGATAATGAACTCAAAATCCTTAAGTGGGACTCAGAAGAGGATCATGGTTGAGAAATTGCTTGCAAAAATTTCAGACTAAAAGATTGACACTTGAAAGGTCATTGTTCCTGGAAATGTAATCAAACCATGATACCCTTTTCGCAAGTGATTTTGTTTTATTCAAATACATTTTATGCAGTCAAAGTTTGGTGAAAATATTGAAAACATATTCCAAATGAAGAAACTCTAATTTGTTACAACAATGAGCCAATAAACTATTGAGGCAAGTGCTGCTCTTATTACTGACCGAATATTATATAAGCTATGTTACATTACATCTGAGAGAGAGAGGGAGGCTCGTATCTGCAAACACAATCATATATGTTTCCCTTTATCAACTTCTCTGCCAATCTCTGATTCTTCACCATTGCTAGCTGCAAAAAGAACAAAGGAGAAAAAGCTTCCAGTCATAAGTTTCAATAAAAAATTTAGAGTTAAACTTGTCTGTGGAGTGAGGCTTCAAACTTTGAGAGCCTCGCATTTGAATTGAGCGTTGAAGTTGGTGTGAAGTGCTCTTCCCATACCTTCCAAGATAACCTGAAAAATTATTAAACATCAAATATTTCTCTCTTTCTGTGTGTTTTGAAGGTTTTGTAGATACAAGATCGGCGTCTTTGGCAGCAGCTGCAAGCTCAGAGCTGACTTGTCTGAGGTCGATGCAAGGACTCCCGCATCCATTTTCAACAACCATCAATGGTGCTGAAGTTGAATCCTTCTTTGACCCATCCCCCGGATTTACCATCGCATCCACAAGTAAGCCTCCCATTTCTGCCGCTCTCCTCAGGATGTCACAGTGCTTGAAGAGTAAAGACAGAACAAAAMAGTTGGTTACATGTAAKAACATWATAACRACRGTATAGAATCAKAAKTTRAACRGACAACACCTTAGCAGCCCCGGCGACTATATCAGGGAGTTCCATAGCAGTCACATCGTTAAGAGCAGGAAGAGAGTTTGCCACAAGAACAACCTGGAGAATCATAATAACAATTTTTTGGGTGTTTCCTCAACTAATTTCACAAAGAAACCATTTCTATAGTGAGCTACGTACTTCAGACCCACGACGGAGAAACTCTCGGGCAAGAGGAAGCATCCCAAGAATGACGTCTGCTCCTGAGTTATCAACAAAGAGTAACGCTCTTTTATGTCGATGAGGCTGCTTATCTCCAAATCCTAGCATCCTTTCTTTGAAAGCATCAAAATCATCATAAAACTAACAGAAGATTTCCAGCATAAAACTAACAATTAGCAATGACAATGTCAACAAAAGAAGGTGTTTTTGGCTCACCCTCCATGGTCTCTGCATCTTGTTGCGACTCATTCTGTATATTTCAATGATGGTTCCTTTATGATATAGATCCACACATGCCCGAGATCCCCAGTCGAATATGTTTGCTGCTAGAACACCTTCTATAAGTGTAAGCAGCCTCGCCTCCTGAAAATCCGAGCAAAATTTAAAGCACTAATGAGAGGAGTTCTCATCTATAGCACTAAAATGTCAAGTGCCAAACCATAAACCTACACAGAGAGGAAGGTTAGAGATCACAGACCTCACTCACTGAATCAAGCTCCTCCAGTAAATCAGGTAAAACAGCAAGTGACGCCTCGTTCTCCCTATCTGTTTCGAAGAAAGAGAAGAGGGCATAAGAGAAACTCGAAGTAGGAGAGAGATAAGACTATGTTTTACCTTTGCTTGATGCTTCCATAGGCATCAACAAATTGGAATTCCCTTAAGAATTATTCCCTAAGTTCCAATAGATTTGCCAGCAGCTTTCCATATGCAGCTGGCTCTTCCATTAATCTACAACCAAAATCATTGTCAGCGAAAGGAAAAAGCACCAAAAAAAAATGATCTTCTTAAAGAGTATAACTATGAATCTGATGTGATGAACCAAACCTTGCCAAATGAGCAGAAAAAGCACGAGCAAAAGCATCACCACGTCTTTCCGCGTCCTCAGTTCCACCTTCTCTTGCCACAGCCTACAATCATGTCCACAGAATAATCGTAAAGCAAGAGTTACAGGCCATACAGAATCTTCACACCCAAAAATAAACATTACTGAAGGTGGAACAGAATTCGTATGTTAAAACTTTAACAGTTACCGTATCAACGAGGTCTGGCAAATGCTCGGACAAAACACAATAAGTAATCTAAGAAACAGTGATTTCATCCAAGAAAACCACTGTTTTGGAGGATCAACATCGACTTATTACTCACTCTTGTTCGCCTTGATCTGATAGATCAATTGTGTTAGGCTCATACCTGGAGTAAAACAATTCAACACACAGAACCACATAAATCCTCCCAAAAAAATCATGAACAAGAGGCAAACCAGGAGGTATACGTACAAGGTCAATACACTACTCGGGGACAGGGCCACTTACATTTTTGGGTCAGCCAGCAATGGGAACACCTCTAGTGTGGGCACAAGATGGAGAACGCCAACATTTAAAGCACTGGCGTGAGATCTTAGAGCACTACCTCTGGCTCTGGATGAGGGAACTTCAAACCCTCCAAGGCCAGTCGTTTTTGAAGGAGTCATCGGTACAGGAGCAGTTATTTCAGTTCCTCTACGATCAAACTTTTCCATCCACGAAACCTGAAAACAAGCAGGCAAAACCCCTTGAAATCCAAAACACTTATAACTACTTTAAGTGATATCTCTCTACTATTAGCAAAAGAAAAAGTTGAAAAAGTGGAAGAGCACCTAATTCCATCTCGTATTCGAACTTCAATGGAGTATTCTTATATAAATTTCATTTCAACAGTTGCTATATATCTAGAATAAAAAAAAAGAAATCGTATGTAATATATGATTAGAGATCAGTAGAACAGTGGATCTTTATAAGTTATAGAATATCAACAAAGTTGGTTAATTTAGGAGATAATTTATGATTCTTAATCTTGCTTTTCATTATTCTTAATGTCACATACAGATGATACTTTGTATT